TGGATGGATAGATGGATGGATAGATAGATTTATAGATAGATAGATAGATAGATAGATAGATAGATAGATAGATAGATAGATAGATAGATAGATAGATAGATAGATAGATAGATAGATAGATAGATAGATAGATAGATAGATAGATAGATAGATAGATAGATAGATAGATAGATAGATAGATAGATAGATAGATAGATAGATAGATAGATAGATAGATAGATAGATAGATAGACAGATAGATAGACAGATAGATAGACAGATAGATAGACAGATAGATAGACAGATAGATAGACAGATAGATAGACAGATAGATAGACAGATAGATAGATAGATAGATAGATAGACAGAAAGATAGACAGAAAGACAGACAGAAAGACAGACAGAAAGACAGACAGAAAGACAGACAGAAAGACAGACAGATAGATAGACAGATAGATAGACAGATAGATAGATAGATAGATAGATAGATAGATAGATAGATAGATAGATAGATAGATAGATAGATAGATAGATAGATAGATAGATAGATAGATAGATAGATAGATAGATAGATAGATAGATAGATAGATAGATAGATAGATAGATAGATAGATAGATAGATAGATAGATAGATAGATAGATAGGTAGATAGGTAGGTAGGTAGGTAGGTAGGTAGGTAGGTAGGTAGGTAGGTAGGTAGGTAGGTAGGTAGGTAGGTAGGTAGGTAGGTAGGTAGGTAGATAGATAGATAGATAGATAGATAGATAGATAGATAGATAGATAGATAGATAGATAGATAGATAGATAGATAGATAGATAGATAGATAGATTTGATAGATAGATAGATAGAAAGGATGAATGAGAATGAATATTGATTGCCACTTTAAAAATAGCAAGTATGTACTCTCAACATTCAATTGGCATCTAAAAAGAAATCACGGATGTGATTCCGTCCCACTTGGGGGGTGGGGGTGGGGGGCAAAAGGGGGGGGGGTGTTACAGAACGATTCACAAGAAAGAAGTACTTCTTTTTCTTCTTCTTCTTCTTCTTCTTCTTCTTCTTCTTCTTCTTCTTCTTCTTCTTCTTCTTCTTCTTCTTCTTCTTCTTCTTCTTCTTCTTCTTCTTCTTCTTCTTCATCTTCTTCTTCTTCTTCATCTTCTTCTTCTTCTTCATCTTCTTCTTCTTCTTCATCTTCTTCTTCTTCTTCATCTTCTTCTTCTTCTTCATCTTCTTCTTCTTCTTCTTCTTCTTCTTCTTCTTCTTCTTCTTCTTCTTCTTCTTCTTCTTCTTCTTCTTCTTCTTCTTCTTCTTCTTTTGAATGAGGTAATGGATTGTTGAACCCTGAATGCATAGATGAATGGGCTGGATATAATGCATTGATGGACAGATGAATACATAGATAGATGGATGAAAGAAGAAAGAAAGAAATATTGCAAGAAAGAAATAAAAAACTAATGAATGATTTAATAAATGAAAGTTTATATTGATTAATTCATTGACTACTGTATCAAGTGTTGACTGAACGAATTAGCGAATCAGCGAATGAATGAAGTAGAAAGTGAATGAATAAGGGATTGGGTGACAGAATGAGTGAATGAAGAATGTTAGCTAATGTGTAAAGCAATGAATGAATAAATGGATGAATGCGTGAATGAGTTAGTAAATTAATGAACTAGGAATTTGATGAAAAAATCTGTGAAAAGAATGTTTTACCGAATGAATAAATAAATGCATGAATGGGAAAATAATGAATAATTAGGAAAATAATGAATAATTCAGTCAGTGAACAAATGAGTGAATGAATGAATGAATGAATGAATGAATGAATGAATGAATGAATGAATGAACGATATCTTCCTTATCGCTTAGAGAGTCGAATCCAGCGACATTATAACTGATAACGAACAAACGATACCAGTCAGAAATCGACTACAGTAACGAATGACGAGCTTCAGATGTGTGTTTACAGTCAAGTCTTGAACAAATAGCCCCTGGGCGAAAACAATACCTGATCGTTTGTAAATAGTCAAGGTATCAAATAGACCTCATCGATAACATGGAGTGATGGCACGGTGGTGTTTATTGGGTGGTTGAGGATGCTGTGAGAAATGGTGATGAATGGTGTTCGGTACAGACAGTTTGTCTGATGTTCCACGGCGTGGAGACTCAATGATTTGTCTGTCTTCATCAATCTGTCTGTCTCAGTTCGCTCTAATCTTTCTTATTTTCAAACTCCAGTTTTTGATTTCTTTGGTTTTTTTTCCCTATCTCTCTCTCTCTCTCTCTCTCTCTCTCTCTCTCTCTCTCTCTCTCTCTCTCTACATACTGACTCGCTCGTGTTCTTTCTCTCCTTCCTACTCTCCACCTATTTCTGTCTCCTTCTGTCTCCGATCTCTCTCCCTTTATGTCTCCCTTCCATCTCTCTCTCTCCCTCTCTCTCTCCCTCTCTCTCTCCCCCTCTCTCTCCCTCTCTCTCTCCCTCTCTCTCTCTCTCTCTTTTTCTCCATGCCCACCTAAGTTGTAGAATGACAAATCGGAAATTTTTTTTCTGGACGTTCTCTGACTGTAAATTCCGGCAGAAATTTCTGGTTGTTCATTCATTTTTGGACTTTGACCTTTTACCAGTACGTGTTTTGCATGCACATCCGTTTCACACATCTGCAGACTGGTAGTTCCTCGTGTCTCAAGCATACGTACTTCGACTTCAAATAAAACATCTAATTTTAGTCACCTAGGGGCATGGGAATAAACGAAGGCCAAAAAACACATGAAGAAGAGAGCTGGAGACTGAAGTTAGAAAGATGGGGAGGACATGGGGAGAGCTCCATGCAATGGCGAAGGATAGAACCACTTGGTGTGAGTTGGTTGAGGGCCTATGCTCCATTGGGTGAAAGAAAGGCAGAAGAAGAAAGAAGGTTCTCTCGCCTCAAAGGTCCTTCACCACATCTAACATTTAAGAATGAATTAACCACTAGTTGACGCTCTACAGTCCGCTCCGAAAGTTGTGCCCAGCTTAAAAATCTTTAAAACTCTCCTGTGTGTGCAGGTACCTTCATATTTGCCCCAGGGCATGAAGGCGTTCTTGGTAATGAAAGAGCTGATAAACTGGCAGGTGCTGCATTAATTGAAGAAAGCTAGCCCATGGATCACGCAGACATTGTCATTGCCCTTAGAGAGATAGTACGTTCTGAGAATTTCGGAAGCAGCGTGTCCACATCACTGCTAAGAATACGAAAATTGGAAGTAAAGATCGGCACAGCCAAGCGTGAGAAATACACCGGACGCACACGCAGTCTTGTTAACCAGCATAGGACTGGCACTGTTAACCGCACGACGCTGATGAATATGTTTAGAGGGGAATCTGAGCGCCTATGGATGTGTCCGGAGTGCTGTGAAGATAAACTAACTTATACCTAAAAAATTTGTAGGTCAATAACCGTCGGTTTAAGGTTGAAATTTGGCGTGCAGCCTGTTAATATTCACGTTTGTAAGCAAAGGTCCATTCTCGCGCCTTTAGGCGCATCGGGCATATGGAAAGAACACCCATTTTATTACAGACCATTCGGCACTAGGTAGGTAATGTGGTCAGCATTACGCTGGCCGTCTTTACTTCCCCAGGACATACATCCTGGTACCCATTTTAGGCTGGGTCGACCTGCGACGCCCCATACCATGATAAAAAGCCACGCAGCCAGCAGTGGGTTTTTCTCACGGTACCTTGCAATTACGAGTCGGACTCGCAACGCCTAAGCCACGGACGCCGTTTGGGCGTTTAATGTCAACAACTATCTATTATTAATTTTGCCTTATTTGCAGTGTGTGAAAGAGACATACATCAATTCAGTCAAACAATCAGAACGCTAACAGTAATTTGAGTAAACTGAGTAAGGAAAACTTTTTAGATCCTCAAACTGTAGGCTTGTCGTAGACGTTTCATTCTTAGGTGGCCATCTTCAACAAAAGTTTCCAGTGAGTTGCGGATTTTTCATTGAGTGGAGAATAGACTGTCAAAATAATCACCACGCGTTGCTGCACATGTGAAGTGATTTCCAAACAATATCCAGACTCGTGTTGTTGACTCTATATTCTATTTTACATAGGTTTATAAATTATAAGTCCCACACACACAAAAATCAGAGAAAATTGCCGCTTTAAGACAACAGCAGCATCTGCGCATTTGTAAATTATAGAATAACTAGAATATAGGAAATCTAAGGCCAGATGCAAATATTCGTGTTCATTCGTATTATCATTATCTGGTCCCCTGCCGACTGGCGTGGGCGATCATGCCTCTCCACAATCCGCGATCTCCTGTAGCATATATCAGTTCGTGTGCCGACACACCTCCATGTCATGCAACAAGACAGTCGAGAATCTTTTCTTGTTGTCTTCCTCTATCCCTCCTTCCACAGATCTTTCCAATGGTCACAACATGTTCAATTTTCCCTCTTCTCATAACATTGCTGAAAAATGACTTGAATACTCTGACCAAAATAGCCAAACGAGGTCAACTTCCCCGGTGTTCTGAAGAGATGCTTACCACTCAGCATGGAACATTAGCAACTAGTTTTGTCGTCCCCCGAGTGTGTGCTCCGTACAGCAGTACTGACTGACATTAGACTTCAAACACTGCTGGCTGTGTCACTATGCCCAATTTCTGTAGATTTCCATGAATTTCCTTGCTGGCTGACATCTACCGTGTATTTTATTCTAGAAATGATATAAAACAAACGAAAAGTAGAAATCGTCAGCTTCACAGTATTAAAAACAAAAACGACAAGTAAGCGTTTCGGCTAGAGAGTCTTCATCAGTATATTCAAAGAAAAGACAATGTTACAGTTACAAACATAAATACACAAAATCACTCACTTGAAGTATCTCCGAGAGAAGTCTACACGTTTTTCTGACCACTTTGAGCTCTGGCACGCGTGTGAACACAGGAAATTAATACTAGCCAGAGAAAGCTGTGGCATTCAATGGCAGTAACTCAAAAACTTTACTTTTTGGTTTTCTGTTACAGGCAACCCGTGTGAGTCGTCCAAACCATTTTTGTGTCGAAGCTCTCCCAAGTGTATAGCCCTCAAATTCGTCTGTGATGGAACTTACGACTGTGAGGACGGCTTCGATGAGGATCCCGCTGTCTGCAATGCAGGTGAGTGCCCATCCGACTTTGTTAGTGTCCACCCGACTGTGGTAGTGCCCATCCGACTGTGGTAGTGTCCATCCAACTGTGGTAGTGTCCATCTGACTGTGGTAGTGTCCATCCAACTGTGGTAGTGTCCATCCAACTGTGGTAGTGTCCATTAGACTCTGGTTATGTCCATCCGACTGTGGTAGTATCCATTTGACTGTGGTAATGTCCATCCAACTGTGTTAGTGTCCATCCAACTGTGGTAGTGCCCACCCGACTGTGGTAGTGTCCATCCAACTGTGGTAGTGTCCATTAGACTGTGGTAATGTCCATCCGACTGTGGTAGTGTCCATCCGACTGTGGTAGTATCCATTTGACTGTGGTAATGTCCATCCAACTGTGTTAGTGTCCATTCAACTGTGGTAGCGTCCATCCTACTTTGTTAGTGTCCACCCGACTGTAGTAGTGCCCATCCGACTGTGGTAGTGTCCATCCAACTGTGGTAGTGTCCATCCGACTGTGGTAGTGTCCATCCAACTGTGGTAATGTCCATTCGATTGTGATAGTGTCCATCCGGCAGTGGTAGTGTCCATCCGACTGTGGTAGTGTCCATTCGACTGTGTTAGTGTCCATCCGACTGTGGTACTGTCCATCCGACTGTGGTAGTATCCATCCGACTGTGGTAGTGTCCATCCGACTGTGGTAGTATCCATCTGACTGTGGTAATGTCCATCCGACTGTGGTAGTGTCCATCCGACTGTGGTAGTGTCCATCTGACTGTGGTAATGTCCATCTGACTGTGGTAGTGTCCATCCGACTGTGGTAGTGTCCATCCAACTGTGTTAGTGTCCATCCAACTGTGGTAGCGTCCATCCGACTGTGGTAGTGTCCATCTGACTGTGGTAGTGTCCATCCGACTGTGGTAGTGTCCATCCGACTGTGGTAGTGTTCATTAAACTATAGTAGTGTCCATCCGACTGTGGTAGTGTCCATCCGACTGTGGTAGTGTTCATTAAACTATAGTAGTGTCCATCCGACTGTGGTAGTGTCCATCCGACTGTGGTAGTGTCCATCCAACTGTGGTAATGTCCATCCGACTGTGGTAGTGTCCATCTGACTGTGGTAGTGTCCATCCGACTGTGGTAGTGTCCATTTGACTGTGGTAGTTTCCATCTGACTGTGGTAGTGTCCATTCGACTGTGGTAGTGTTCATGCGACTGTGGTAGTGTCCATCCGACTGTGGTAGTGTCCATCCGACTGTGGTAGTGTCCATCCGACTGTGGTAGTATCCATCCAACTGTGGTAATGTCCATCCGACTGTGGTAGTGTCCATCTGACTGTGGTAGTGTCCATCCGACTGTGGTAGTGTCCATTTGACTGTGGTAGTTTCCATCTGACTGTGGTAGTGTCCATTCGACTGTGGTAGTGTTCATGCGACTGTGGTAGTGTCCATCCGACTGTGGTAGTGTCCATCTGACTGTGGCAGTGTCCATCCGACTGTGGTAGTGTCCATCCGACTGTGGTAGTGTTCATGCGACTGTGGTAGTGTCCATCCGACTGTGGTAGTGTCCATCTGACTGTGGCAGTGTCCATCTGACTGTGGTAGTGTCCATCCGACTATGGTAGTGTCCATCCGACTGTGGTAGTGTCCATTCGACTGTGGTAGTGTCCATTCGACTGTTGAAGTGTCCATCCGACGGTGGTAGTGTCCATCCGACTTTGGTAGTGTCCATCTGACTGTGGTAGTGTCCATCTGACTGTGGTAGTGTCCATCTGACTGTGGTAGTGTCCATTTGACTGTGGTAGTGTCCATCTGACTGTGGTAGTTAACACTTCATGTCCCAAATAACGCATGGTGAGCAAGGCTCAGCTCCATCGCGACCATCGAATAGCGTGTTCTGTCATTTATATATTTGCACATTTTAGCAAAGAACACTGAAAAAATCTGCCTTCTTTGGTGACCACGTCTGGTACACATTCTCTTCTTTGGAAGATTGCGGTAATGCATTGGCTTGTCACCTCCCTGTCGTCCCTTTGACTTTTGGTCTGAATCCACTAAACAGATTGTTGTAATCCACATGAAGATTATCCGCCACATTCTCTTTGGCCTTCTTCTTCCTCTCTAAAAAAGAGAACACGAATGGCTATGCATATTTTCAATAAGATGCGCATATTATTGACAGCTAGAGAGATAAACGTCGGCTCTGTGGCTAAGTCGATGCGAATGCTTCGTAATGCCGGGATACCGGGTTCGATACCAGCTGCGGGCCATGTGCCTTACGTTGGTTTCGACAGTGGTTTAAAGAAAGCCGACCGTCCAGAGGCAATGGCAAACTACTGGACGTAAATTCGCCTAGAAAAACCACACAACAGCCAGGAGCTGTTGGGGTTGGTTCTGCAACGTCCTGTAAAGGATACGCAACTAACCTTAGAGCCATAAACACCACATTTAAACGAAGAATCGTGAAATCTTATGGTACTCAAACGTGCTGTATGGTGCGGAAACGTGGACATGAACAGAGAACTACAAAATCAAAATGAGTCTTTGGAAATGGGGATATACACAGAAGAATGGGTCATCTTTCATAAAAACTAATAGAACCCAGTACAGAAGTTCTGGGAAGATTAAAAAAAGAATTATTTATAGAAATTAAAATATTTTTAAAAAAGGCCAATTAAACATGTTGGCCTCATCAAAAGACAGTATACAATTTTTAAAACCATACTGCAGTGAAAAGATCAGGATAAGAGAGCAAGATGTAGACATTGTTACAAATGGGAGGACAACATCAAGAGGTGGACCAACAGCAGTGTGAGAGAGATTACAATCAAGACAAGAGATAGAGCGTGTTTGAGATCCAATCACCCAACCTTCCTTGTGGAGACTTGATTGTTTGACTCTCTGTCATCCAGACATTATTAATCCACCCGAGCTTCATTCATACATGCAATTCTCGATGTTTTATTCCCTTCAGATATTATTTATTCATATATGAAATTCCCAAACCCACGCACATTTCCAGTGTTGGCCAAACACAGAGACGCCAAGGGAAAGAGGCAGAAAAGATCGATTTATACATGGATGACAATGCAGAATTAAAGTCAGATCAACAGACAGCCAGACCGATAGGCGAATTGAAAGACCCGAAGGGCAGCGATGGATGATAACTGATAGGCTGGGATTCGATGCAAGAATATATAGAAATGTCTACGATGGTACCTCGGAATCCGAACATAATTCGTTTGGAGACGGAGTTTGAATTCCAAATTGTTCAAGTTCCAAGACAACTGTCCTTGTTGAGACTAATGTTAATCTGTTCTAGGGGCCAACAGACTCACATTTTAAAATCTATTTTCCTTAACACAGAACTCTTTAAACAGAGTAACACACATGATGATCATATTTGAATACAAACATTAATAAATAAAATTTAAAAAAAAATATATTAAAAAAAAAAAATATTGCGTTAACTGTATCTTGATCAAAATAGTAATTTGAGGAGATCATTGTCTGGAAGCTCCCCCCCCCCCCCCCCAGAGACCATGACCTTGTAGTGGTGGGGGAGCTTGAGAGCTTCAATAGCCTAGTGAGCTTTGCCGGCGGGAACGTATGTTCCTGTCAGGGTCACCCAAGCCGGACAGGTCATTGGTGAGGGGCCAGACTAAAGACGGCCTCCCGGTCCTCCAGGCTCGGGGGTTGGGCGCAGTGTTGACAGCTCTGCCCTGTAAAAAATCTACAACGTTACTGAAACTTCAAGAGGAAAAAAGGGCTCTAAACGTCCGGCGGTCTTGGAACAGAGTCCCTCTGTCAGCATAAACAACATGGGTGAAAGCCAAAAGGAAGCCCATGATGGGGAAAAAAAGTCTACTGGATGTCAAAATCAAATTAAGAATTGGCTTCTGGAAGGTAAGAACAATGTTTGAAACGGCCAAAACCGCCCAAGTAATTAAGAAGGGGCGTCCAAAAAACAACATGGAGACGAACGATGGAAAACTGCACTGAAGATTGCACAGGACAGGAAAGCATAAAAGTACTCTCTAAATCCTCATGTGCCACTAGGCTTAACGAGAACTGATAGAGATTGGAAGGGAGTCACCGTGGTCTAGCGGCTAGACGCCCGCCTGTGGATCGGAAGGTCGTGGGTTCGGGTCCTGAAGGAGCTGGACTTTTTTTTTTCTAAATTGACCAAACTCTGGGGTCTACCCAGCCTTGAAAAGGTCAAAGGTACAGTCCTGGAAAGTAAAATCGACCGGTTTAATGCTGACCACATCACTCACCAAGTGCCGATTGTTCTATAAAATCTAGGTCTAACCCTACATGCCCAATACGCCTGAAAGCGTGGAAAAAGGTCCTTTACTTACTTTATTTTATTGTCTGAAAGGTGTGTTCCCTTCCGTAACATCAGCAATCCTCTCTATTGTTTCATTTCGCAGTACTCCGTCAATTGTGAAGGGTTTGGAGTCACTAGTTTTTGTTCAAAACCAGGGTTTTAACGTGCTTTGATGATGGCGACCATTTTTAAAAAAAAATGTTATCAAGGAATAAGTTAACACACATGTTAACTAGGAATCTGTCAGGGCGCAACCCCAAAATTTCTTGCGTTTTTTAACACATCTGCAATGGATTCTGGGGTTCTTTATTATTATGTAACCCCCCCAGATGATGTCACAAGATAGTGCAACATTTTAGAGGGCTCACACATGTACCTTCACACAACACACTGCCAATACATATTCATACACAAATTCCCACACACAGACTTACATACGCACACTTACACGTGTACACAATACGCTCCCTCACATACACACTCCAATGTACAGACTTTTTCATAACACATCCACCCATATACACACACATCCACACACACACATTTTGACTCACAAAGCCACTAAAATAAAAATAAAAAAAATAAAACCGATTGTTCTCTCTTTTCGCCTTCATTAATCATTCACGAAGTACAAAAACAGATCCCACAAATTCGCTGAGATCATTTTCTCCAAAAATCGTAACTCAACTCCCCAATTATCTCCTCCTTCCGCGGTAACCATGAATTAATCCCCCTTCCTGTTTTCAGCCATTAGGAAGTGGAGCTGTTCAACTTAAGCCAATCCTGACAATGAACATATCTCAAAATGGGATTAATCCCGTTTATAAATTAATTTACTAAATTGCGCACCGACAGACCATTCTGAATTCAACGAAAGCATCGCTATGCTTACACAATCCACCTTTCTGAAGTTTGCGATCGGGTAGTTTGTCTCACAATGTGGCCCAGTTATGTCGGTTAATGAGGTGAAAAGTGAACAAATATGTTTCTGTGTTTGAAGCTGGTTTTATTTACTGGTTCTGAGCATGCAGTCTTTGACTGGTGTGTCATCGATGACTGTCCAGTATCTGTTGCAATGACTGATGTGTCATCGACGACTGTCCAGTATCTGTTGCAAGGTTTTCCCCACTGTTAAACTGTACTGAACCGATGTGTATTGATTGAGGAGAGAAAGGGTATGAACACGAAAGGAAACTTCCAGAGAGTGATAGGAAACATCGAGCGATAGTTTAAATGAGTTGGGTTTTCCACTTCGACATGATAAATATAGACAGAAATGCAGACAGGTAGACAGGTAGGCATACTAACAGGCAGGCAGATTGATGGACAGATAGGCAGGTATGCAAAACTGATAGACAGATAGACAGACATAGCGAATGACGGTCGGCCGCACGGATAGATAGATAGATAGACAGACAGACAGACAGACAGACAGACAGACAGACAGACAGACAGACAGACAGACAGACAGACAGACAGACAGACAGACAGACAGACAGACAGACAGACAGACAGACAGACAGACAGACAGACAGACAGACAGACAGACAGATAGATAGATAGATAGATAGATAGATAGATTGATAGATAGATAGATAGATAGATAGATAGATAGATAGATAGATAGATAGATAGATAGATAGATAGATAGATAGATAGATAGATAGATAGATAGATAGATAGATAGATAGATAGATAGATAGATAGATAGATAGATAGATAGATAAGGATAAATAGAACCACTGCTCTCCGGGCAAGCATGTCGTAGGAGACTACTAATTAGAGGCGTTTCCGTCGAAAACTGAGTGCATCTGCCTAAGAAGCAAGGAGTGAACAGTCTGCATAACAAAAGAGCCAAATCTGTTTTTTAAAAAAAAACTGTTCCCCGATCTCAAGTTCTGGAACAAGACTAAAATCCAGAAGTGGACGAACAACAAAAACAGTCTGCCAGTAAACGTTAAGAAGAACCGTGCGTGTCGAAGAAGATTGAATATCAGGTCGTTATAGAATGATGGCACTATTGAACAAAAGCAAAGTAATAGATAACCTATTTATACACCTCGGGACTGGCTATCATTTCATTTCTCCCTATATACCTTTACTTTATAGACGATTGCTATATAGACCATTACTTGATTTGTGTGATAACCATTATCAGTACTGTTGCTAGTATTGACAAAAACGTCATTCATTTGCTTGCTTTCTGTTCTGTTTTCTTTTTCCCCTTTTTCGATCTTTTTAATCTTCATTCTGTGTTTTGCTTTGCCTGTTTTGTTTGTTTGTTTGTTTCTGATTTTCTTTTTTTTCTTTCCTTTTCTTCTTTTTGTATTTCTTTCTGTCTTTCTCTGTTTCTGCCTTTTTTTTTTCTTTATTGTTTCCTTCTCTCTGTTCTCCTTTTTTTTTCTGACCTTCTTTTTTTTCACGAATCATTGTTTTTTTCTTTAAAAAAATTATTTCCTACTTCTTTATTTTTTTAAATTCATTAATTATTCTTTATTTATGTTCAAACTTACTTTGTTTCAGTTGTTTTACATCTCATTATTTCTTAACCTCCAATTTACTTCACCGCCGCGTTCTGTGTCATTCGCAGCTGCCAGACCTTCCTTTGATGACCTAATTTATTTCGTGGAGAACGAGCGGAAGTGGATGATCCCCAAACTTTTCAACGGCGCCGACCCACAACTTGTGGCACACGCCTTGTCAGGTGAGTTGCTTGCTTGCTTGCTTGTTGTACCCCACCAGGACATCACGTTAGCTATAAACACCCGGTGACATAAAGTGTCACCTTGAGGAGACCCAGAGACCCCTTTCAGCAGTTATGGCCATATTTGTGGCCTAGCTATATTCAGGGCCACTGTGAAAAGCCAGCGTTGGGGCTTCATATAAAGAAAAATTGCATCCCACAAAGGGACGAGTTAGATATTGTCAGGTGAGTTCAAACGTTCTTAAGGGGTTCCATACACCAGACTTGGATCTTCCTTCCTGTGTGTCATTTCTTTCTAGCAGTGTAACATCAGAAAGCATTCTCTCCAAGTTGGCAAACGATCTGATTTGCTGTCTTTGCATGTAATTAAGAACTGGTTCTGTACCGACTTTATCTTCGTATGACCTCATTCCTGATTTTTTCTCTTCTGGTCACTCCTAGTCTTTCTCAGACACCTCATTTCCATATTAACAAAATTTTTTTTTTTGTATTTTTTTTAATGAGTGACCAAGTATGGCATTGATAGCATGGGATGGAAATGAATATGCTTTTTGTATGAGATGATTCTTTGTGCTTATTGGGATTGCCTTATGCTGTAAGAGGGGAGCCAGCTGTCCCAATACTTGGCCTGCTTTACTGCATCGGATATCAATTTCTTCGTCCAGTTTACCATCTTCAGTGAATGTTGTTCAAGGATATTTAAACTCACATGCTTGTTTACTATATGTATGCATTAATTCTATTTTCAAATTATGTTTCTTTCATTCTATAGACATTTTGTCTTTTCGATAGAGATTCTCATATTATTTGATCTACACTCTCCATTCATGGATGTGAGATAATGTTGCAAATTCATGGCTGTATCTTGCAATCAAGACCTGGTCATCAACAAAAAGTAAAATCGTTGATGTTACTATTTTATCCGATCCTGGGCCTGGCATATTTGCTGATGATGTCAATGTAGGTGATAAATGTAGGGGTGGTGATAAATGTAGGAGTGGAGATAAATGTAGGAGTGGAGATAAATGAAAGAATGGTGATAAATGTAAGGGTGGTGATAAATGTAGGGGTGGTGATAAATGTAAGAGTGGTGATAAATGTAGGGGTGGTGATAAATGTAGGGGTGGAGATAAATGTCGGAGTGGTGATAAATGTAGGGGTGGTGATAAATGTAGGGGTGGAGATAAATGTAGGGGTGGAGATAAATGTAGGGGTGGAGATAAATGTAGGAGTGGAAATAGATGTAGGAGTGGAGATAAATGTAGGAGTGGTAATAAATGTAGGAGTGGTAATAAATGTAGGAGTAGAGATAAATGTAGGAGTGGTAATAAATGTAGGGGTGGAGATAAATGTAGGGGTGGAGATAACTGTAGGTGTGGAGATAAATGTAGGAGTGGTAATAAATGTAGGAGTGGAGATAAATGTAGGAGTGGTAATAAATGTAGGGGTGGTAATAAATGTAGGAGTGGAGATAAATGTAGGAGTGGTAATAAATGTCGGAGTGGTAATAAATGTAGGGGTGGAGATAAATGTAGGAGTGGTAATAAATGTAGGAGTGGAGATAAATGTAGGAGTGGAGATAAATGTAGGAGTGGAGATAAATGTAGGAGTGGAGATAAATGTAGGAATGGAGATAAATGTAGGAGTGGAGATAAATGTAGGAGTTGAGATAAATGTAGGAGTGGAGATAAATGTAGGAGTGGAGATAAATGTAGGAGTGGAGATAAATGTAGGAGTGGAGTTAAATGTAGGGGTGGAGATAAATATAGGAGTGGTGATAAATGTAGGAGTGGAGATAAATGTAGGAGTGGAGATAAATGTAGGAGTGGAGGTAAATGTAGGAGTGGAGATAAATGTAGGAGTGGATATAAATGTAGGGGTTGAGATAAATGTAGGAGTGGTGATAAATGTGGGAGTGGTGATAAATGTAGGAGTGGAGATAAATGTAGGAGTGGTAATAAATTTAGGAGTGGAGATAAATGTAGGAGTGGTAATAAATGTAGGGGTGGATATAAATGTAGGGGTGGAGATAAATGTAGGAGTGGTGATAAATGTAGGAGTGGAGATAAATAAAGGAGTGGAGACAAATGTAAGAGTGGAGATAAATGTAGGAGTGGTAATAAATGTAGTGGTGGAGATAAATGTAGGAGTGAAGATAAATGTAGGAGTGAAGATAAATGTAGGAGTGGAGATAAATGTAGGAGTGGAGATAAATGTAGGAGTGGAGATAAATGTAGGAGTGGAGATAAATGTAGGAGTGGAGATAAATGTAGGAGTGGAGATAAATGTAGGAGTGGAGATAAATGTAGGAGTGGTGATAAATTTAAGATTGGTGATAAATGAAGTTGTGGTGATAAATGTAAGTGTGTTGATAAATGTAGGAGTGGTGATAAATGTAGGAGTGGAGATAAATGTAGGAGTGGTGATAAATGTAAGAGCTGTGATAAATGTAAGAGTTGTGATAAATGTAATAGTGGTGATAAATGAAGGGGTGGTGATAAATATCGGTGTGGTGACAAATGTAGAGGTTGTGACAACTGTAAAAATGGTGATAAATGTGAGAGTGGTGATAAATGTAAGAGTGTTGATTAATGTATGGTTGGTGATGAATGTAGGTGTGGTGATAAATGTAGGGTTGGTGATACATGTAAGAGTGGTAATAAATGTAAGTGTGGTGATAAATGTAGGAGTGTTGATGAATTTAGGAGTAGTGAAAAATGTAAGGGTGGTGATAAATTCAGGGTTGGTGATAAATGTAGGAGTGTTGATGAATTTAGTTGTAGTGATAAATGTAAGGGTGGTGATAAATGTAGGAGTGTTGATGAATTTAGGAGAGGTGATAAATGTAAGGGTGGTGATAAATGTAGGAGTGTTGATGAATTTAGAAGAGGTGATAAATGTATGGGTGGTTATAAATGCAGGGTTGGTGATAAATGTAGGGGTGGTGATAAAAGTAGGAGTGTTAATGAATTTAGGTGTAGTGATAAATGTAAGGTTGGTGATAAATGTAGGAGTGTTGATGAATTTAGCAGTAGTGATAAATGTAAGGGTGGTGATAAATGTAGGAGTGTTGATGAATTTAGGAGTAGTGATAAATGTAAGTGTGGTGATAAATGCAGGGGTGCTGATAAATTTAGGGTTGGTGATACATGTAAGAGTGGTGATAAATGTAAGGGTGGTGATAAATGTATTAGTGCTGATGAATTTAGGAGTAGTGATACATGTAAGGTTGGTGATAAATGTAGGGTTGGTGATAAATGTAGGGGTGGTGATAAATGTAGGAGTGTTTATGAATTTAGGAGTAGTGATAAATGTAAGGGTGGTGATAAATGTAGGAGTGTTGATGAATTTAGGAGTAGTGATAAATGTAAGGGTGGTGATAAATGTAGGAGTGTTGATGAATTTAGGAGTAGTGATACATGTAAGGTTGGTGATAAATGTAGGGTTGGTGATAAATGTAGGGGTGGTGATAAATGTAGGAGTGTTGATGAATTCAGGAGTAGTGATAAATGTAAGGGTGGTGATAAATGTAGGAGTGTTGATGAATTTAGGAGTAGTGATAAATGTAAGGGTGGTGATAAATGTAGGAGTGTTGTTGAATTTAGGAGTAGTGATAAATGTAAGGGTGGTGATAAATGCAGGGTTGGTGATAAATGTAGGGGTGGTGATAAATGTAGGGGTGGTGATAAATGTGGGGGTGGTGATAAATGTAAGGGTGGTGATAAATGTAAGGGTGGTGATAAATGTAAGGGTGGTGATAAATGTTAGGGTGGTGATAAATGTAGGGGTGGTGATAAATGTGAGGGTGGTGATAAATGTGGGGGTGGTGATAAATGTGGGGGTAGTGATAAATGTGGGGGTGGTGAAAAATGTAGGAGTGTTGATAAATGTAGTAGTGGTGATAAATGTAGGAGGGATGATAAATGTGGAAGTGGTGATATTTTAGAAGTGGTGCTAAATGTAGAAGTGGTGATAAATGTAGAAATGGTGATAAAGGTAGGATTGATGAAAAGACACATCCCTGTCTTACTCCAGATGTTACTCTAAATGGTTTAAATTTTCTCTGATTTGTTCTAACTACGCTTTTACAATCTCTAATAAACTTTTTTTCAAACTTCACTCATTGATTATGTTCATGTAATAGTAGTTCTCTTCGCTTGCTGCTGAAAATGGGGACGAAGAGGTTACGGGAATATCCTGGTGTTGTGATGTCGATTCCTAATTCAACATTTATCATTTGATATACTGGTAGTTTAAACTTATAACTAATTTTATAATCAACATCATCATCATAATAATCATTATCATTATAATCATCATCATCATCATTATAATCATCAACATAATCATCATCATCATTTATGCGAATAAACTGTGAGCAACCCTTATGTAACGACTAGATCCTTGCCTGCGGACCTGAAGGTTGTGGGTTCAAACCGGAACGGATCCGAAATTTTGTTTCAAAAATGGCATTGGCCCCTTTTTTTGACTCAGCCTTAAATGGATACTATGTAAATTTATGGGAAGTAAAGGCGGCCGACACAATGTTGACCATATCACCCACCGAGTGCTGATTGGTTCTTTAAAATATAGGTCTAGCCCTATATGCCCAGTGTGTCTAAAGGTGTGAAAAGAGACCCTTCACTTACATATAATAAAAATGCAGATACAATGCAATTAAAAAAAAAATGCAGACAATAAGACGCCACCAATGGTTTTAAATCGATTTCTTTCTATCTCTTTTGTATTTCTGTGCTGAAGTCTCAACATTGAAAGTCACCATAATTGGATGACAGCAAACTAGGCCGTGCTACTTTGTGGACAGTTGGTCTCAAGTGGTTGAAAAATTTGACATTTGAGGGGAATAACATAGTCGAAATGAATAATAGAAGTGCTGACGAAATAACAAAAATATTCCACATAGCAACATCAATATATACATAATGGCATGAACTTAAAAAGAATAACGGAAATATCCAAATAATAATAGAAATATTGAC